TAAGAAGTATGGCGTATATCACAGAACCGGGCTTAGTTACCACCCTCAAACTAGTGGTCAAGTTGAGGTCTCTAATAGGGAAATCAAGGCGATCCTAGAAAAGGTAGTAGCCAAGTCAAGGAAAGATTGGAGTATGAAACTCGATGACACACTTTGGGCATACCGAACAGCATTCAAGACACCAATTGGTACTTCGCCTTATAGATTAGTGTATGGTAAGGCATGTCATCTTCCCGTGGAATTGGAGTACAAAGCTTTTTGGGCGATCAAGGAGCTTAACATGGACTCTAAGGTCGCAGGTAAGAGAAGACTCCTCCAACTCAATGAGTTAGATGAGTTTAGATTGTCAGCATATGATAGTGCGCGAATCTACAAGGAGAAGACCAAGAAGTGGCATGACAAGAGGATCTTACCAAGAGAGTTTGCACCAGGTGATAAGGTTCTTCTCTTCAATTCTAGATTAAAGATTTTCCCAGGAAAGTTGAAGTCTAGGTGGTCCGGTCCCTTCACTGTCACAAGGGTGAACAAATTTGGCTCGATAGAGTTGGTCAATGACAAGGGTGAAGAGTTTAAGGTAAATGGCCAACGACTGAAGGTGTATCATGAGGGCGCTACTAGTAGAGATGTGGAGGAAACCTTCGTAACTCCACTTCCAACCTGAGCATCAAGGTGGTAAGAGGGTCGTGCGGGACCTAGATAAACCAGCGCTTTGCAGGAGGCAACCCGTATTTCTTGCTTTCTAGACTAGTTTTCCTTTTTATTTTTTTTTATTTTTTTTTATTTTTTTATATTTTAGAGAGGCGAGGAGAGCGAAATTTTACCGTTTATAAGTGTTTTTGTACAGGTATAGGTTTAAGAGGCCAAAAAAAAAATTTAGAAAAATTTGAAGACGAAGAAAAAGCTAAGGAAATCTGACTGGGCACGGGCCCGATCGGGCGGAGCTCGCCCGATCGGGCACGCAAGCAAGGCAAAATTCCAGCCTTAAATTCGCCCGATCAAGCGTGGCTGCCCGATCGGGCGCGCAAGAAGAGCTGGAAATCGGAGCTTATTTCGCCCGATCGAGCGAGGTTGCCCGATCGGGCGCGCAAGTGCAGTCAGATTCTCGAGCAAATTTCGCCTGATCGGGCGAGGTTGCCCGATCGGGCGAAAATCGAGTGAAGGAAAAGATATGTCGGGCGAGTAAGAGGGCGAAATTTTCGTTCGTGTTCGCGCCCGATCGGGCGGAGCTCGCCTGATCGGGCGCGTAACTATGGTTCTGGAAATCAAGATTATTCGCCCGATCGGGCGAGGCTTGCCCGATCGGGCGCGCCTATTTGGCCGTCCCCTTTATACTTTTCCTCTTCTTTCTTTCCTCATTTTCTTCTTCTTTCATCTTTTTCTCCATTACTTTCTCTCTCTAAAACCTCCATTTTTACACCTTCAAACTCACTTATTTTCAAAGATCTTCTCCAATCCTTCCATCAAAACTCAAAATTTTTTGCATATTTTTAATCCTTTCATCTTTCTCTACAATCTACACCCAATTTCTACCATTTTCTCTCGATTTTCTCTAAACCCTAAGAGAGAGAAACTCTTCAATTCCTCTATTTTCTAATCACAATGGCTCTCAAGAGATCAAGAACGGTAAGGGGGGAAAGCTCAAGGCAACAAGAGGCCAGAATTGACCCGGATTTGCAAGTTCCGGGATGGGAGAGGGTGGTCATCACCACCCAAGAGCAAAAACAAAGGATGCTCAACCTCATTACGAGGCAGGTAATTCCCACTCGTTTTATTCATCACCCCACCCTTATTAGTTTAGGAATTGATAAGCATGTAGAAAAATTGTTTAAGGGAGTTGGCATGAGTGGTTTCTTTAACATGCATTACGATACTTATAATTATTTAACCTTAAAATTCGTTTCTAGTTTTAATGTCATAAAATCAAATGCTTTAATTTCTCATGTTCAATTTCGATTATTCAATAATAATGTTAGATTAACATTGAAAGAATTTAGTAAACTTTTTGAGTTGAAATCGGATAGGCCCCTTGAACCGCCCCAAGACAACATTGTCGTTGTCTATCAATCCCTTACGGGGGATCCTAATTTGAACCTCCAACATGCTAAGGGCACTTGGATACAACATCCTGTGCCAAAGATTTGGCAACAGTTTTTTGGTCTTACCATTTTTGGAAGGCATGAACCCGCCAATGTTAGGCGGGATGAGCTTGAATTGCTAGGGTCATACATGATCCCTTAGAGTGAAAAGCTCAATATAGTCCACAAAATGGCCACCCACTTCCAACAGGTGGCCAATGCGGCCGAGGCGGGTAGGTCTAGGGTACCCATTTAATTTGGTGGCCTAGTTACACACATAGCGGTCAAACACCTTAGCTTTGTCCCTAACGATGACGGTAAGGTAGCCGGCCCAACTATTATGGACCTACCCTATTTAGGTGGCCTTAATTGGATTAATGTCATGGGAGGGGAGACTTGGTGGGTGATTCAACGGGAATCGGGTAGGAGGGATAATGCTTTCACTTTACCCAACCCCACCTTGACCAAATTTGAGAAGGGGAAGCCTTCTTACACTTTCGAGCTTAACGGTCAAGGTGAGGTGCAACCACCTCACCCTTCACCTCAACCCCACCAATCTCCCATAGACCACTCACCTCATCACCATTCACCACATTATCCACCACCTCCACCCTTTACATACGATATTCCCACTTCCTCTACCAACTACAACATAGACCCCAACGCCCCTTATGACTTCTCGGCTTATAGGAGCCAATTAGATAGGATTGAGATGGGGCAAGGGAGAGTTGAGGGCTTGGTTAGGGATTTGGACACTAGAGTGGGGTCTCTAGATAGAAGGGTAGGGTATGTGGAGAGGAACCTAGGGAGGGGTTTATACCCCATGTAGGATGACTACGCCCGTCGGGGGGCTATTCCCCCCGATTCACTTGTCCCCGATTGGTTCCAATATCCGCAAGGTGGATATACGAACCCAAGTGCCTTTGGTACCTACGTCGACTACTCATCGGTCCATGGTTATTGGACCGATGTACCTTTTGGTGGGCTTGGAGGAATGTGGACCCTAACTACTTTGCAGGTGGTTCGGGTTATGGAGGTGGTGGCTCTAACCATGGAGGAGCCGGTTCTAGCCACGGAGGGGGCTATTCGAGGATGGATGAGGATGAGGAGTAGGCTACACTCCCAAGTCAATGAGAGCATTGCTTGATTTGGCTTGGGGGTGTTCTTTCGCTTGGTAATTCTCTTCCTTTTCCTTTTCTCTTTTTAATTGCTTTCTAGTATAGTTTTTATTGCTTTCCTAGTATAGTTTTCATTGCTTTTTTATTTATGAAAAATACAAAAAAATTCAAAAATACGTTCCAATGAATTGTAAATCATGCTTCTCTGTGCCCCATACTTGAGAAAATTTGTTTTGATTCTTGGTTATTGATAATGAGCATTGTGGATTTGTTGGTCATGATTTGAAGTTTAATTGCTTGGATTCCTAAACATAAGTCAATTTTGCCAACTATTTGTGAATATAGTGCTTGACTAGTTGATTTGGTTAGGAAATGTGTGATAGTTCCATAATTTCTGGTATGTCAATGAATTTGAGTATTGATTTGCAGCTATGAGTAGTGTTTCATGACTTATTATTATGCACATGAGGAGGACGAAGGCATTCATTCTTTTAGGTAGCCTTCAGAGTATTAGATACATTTGTTCCCTTCTTGTTACCCATGTTGTTGCTTGTGCCCTTTTATTGTTTATTTAGCCACATTACAAGCCTATATGAGCCCTGTTGGTTACTAGTCCCAAGCTTGGCTTGGGGGAGCTATTAGTTGGTGAGGTGAGAGAGTTGTGGTGTGCATATTATTGGCACAATGTGGGAATAAAAGAAGAGTTATTGTTCTTTGATTGGAAAATATTGATATTGTGTTTCAAAGTTGAATTTTCCAATATGAGTTAAAAAGAAAAAAAAAAGAGCAAAAGAAAAAAATTAATGCTAAGTGTTCTATTTGAAGGTTGTTCAAAAGAAAAAAAAAAAGAATGAGTTCAAAGTTTGTTTTTCACTCAAAGTTCTACATTATCATATTTTTATGAGTGATTATTGTAAGTGTTGGGATTGTTTATGATGATTAAAGTTGTATTTGGTGGTTTTTGTCGGAGTTAGTTATGTTGATGGAGATGTATGATCATCATTTATTTTGATCATGGGTTTATTAGGATTTGGCTCCCTTAATGCATAGCTTTTCTCTCATATAATCCCAAATTTATCCTACCTTTACCCTAGTCTTACATTACAAGCTTTAAAGACCTTCCGTCCTTGTGCATAGAAGTTATGTAAATGTGAAAGTGTTGTTTATCAATGCAAGTTATGACTTGGCATATTTCGAGTCGACTAGTAGGATGAGCGTTCATTGCTTTTATACACACGAGAGTGGGAGTTGGGAGGGCATTGTTCACATTAAAGGGGTTGGTTGGAGAGCGATCGAGTACATCTTTTACTCGCCACATAAATGAGAGTTGAGTGTGTGAGCACTAGTCTTGAATTCTATATGCTCTTGTGGTTTGCTCTACTTGACAATTGTTGGGGAGGAAGGGTGATTAGATGAATAAGATTGATTGATGTTGAAGCATGTTCATTAGATTTGCCTAGAATCTTTGATGTTTGATTTGATTATTGGGGTGAAGTATGTTTTATATGTTCATTATGAGCTCTTTGCTTAGGGACAAGCAAAGGTTTGGCTTGGGGGAGTTTGATATGTCCATTTTATATAGTGTTTTACCCCCGTCCCTTGGTCGTTATTAGTAGTGTTTTTGACTCTTTTGGGCCACTTTTATTACTAATTTGTGTTTTCTAGTGTTTTCGTAGTTTTAGTTGTATTTTACAGGAAATTGCACTCTTGGAGCATTTTTCCGGGCTTTATGGATCAAAGTTTCACCATCAAAAGACATAGCCGTGAATACATTTTCAAAGTCAATCAACTATATTCTTATATTTACCTTCGACCGAACATGAAAATACTCCTTCAACACTTCACCTTTCGACTTCACTTGCCCACCAATACTTAATTTGTCGTCCTAATCATTTGATTTGACTTAAAAATTAACAATGTAGCAATTCATTTTACTAATATAAATTAACAAAACAAGCATGGAATCGGTCAACAGAACAACACTATACCTTGAACAATGTTGGATCATCACAATTAGGGTCTTTCATCCTACGTTCAACAATTATCCTTCAGAACACTATAACAAAGTAAGGCAGTCATATCATACATTTTTGGATAACTCTAACCACAAATTTATCTAATTTTAAATCATCAATAAAGAATCAATTGGTTTTACTTTGGACTTTAATCAATCCCTTGTTAACAAATATTCACCTATACCAACATCAAAATTGAAAAGCACAAACATATTAATTCTTTTTAACAAACACTGCATGCTTTAACATCACAGTAAAAATTAATTTCAAACCAAATATGCCGAGCGCAAATAAAATACTGCCGCAATCAGATTATCAATATCAATTCGTGAATTTGATTCTATAATTAAACATAAACGCATTAATAATACATGAAATTGACTTACAGCGAATCCACTAAGCCAATGAACCACGAGCGACAGCTGCTATGCTTTCAATTCAAAATTCGACAAACTATGAATTGTTCGAACATGTGAAAGCTGCTCTTCAATTGAAGTCGTCTTCAATTGAAATCGCCATGTATTACAAATTGTTGACTAATTTCAAGCGAAGGCAATCCCAATTGCAATATACGACATCAGAGTTCGTCCAGGAATGTACTACCAACATTCGAAATTTTCGCCGGAAAGGATTATCTCCAATCGTAAAAAACAAACAAGGGTAAATGAAATTGGGAAAGTGAAAAAAACGGAGGTAACGGCATGTTACTTCGTTGACTGAGGCTTCCGTTAGTCAAAAAATATCAGTTAACCCAAAGGTTTCTGTGATGTTACCAAAATACCCCTCACTTATTATGGTTATTTACCAAAATACCCCCTGATGTGCGTTTGATGTAAATATGCCTGATCAACTAGTATTTCCTCATAATTTGTTAACTGTAACTTATTTCATACTCCCTCTGTCCCTATTTGTTAGTCTCATATTTCGATTTAGAATGTCTCTTTACATTGCACCTTTTCCTGATATAGTAACATGCTCCCACCATTAAACCTACTTGTATACACTCACAAGTCACAAGTGTAAAAGACAAATATATCAATGAGGTAAATTTATTATTTAGCTAGTAAATGGGAGTTTACATTGTGAAATTATCTAACAAATCACTATATCCAAACTAAATAAAAAAAACTTCAATGGAAAAACAAGGAGCTTCACTTGGCTTAAATGAGGAAAGATAACACTCATACCCTTTGAAGTTAACCATTTCCTTTTATTTCACCATTGTTCTTAGGGTTTTCGTTTAAAAAATATGACGGTGAAAGTGGTGATTAACTAGAGGAACCGCGATTATTGGGAAGAAGGGGAAGAAGAATATGGAAATGGAGGAGGATGAAAGAGACCAAAACGAAAAAAAAAATAAAAATAAATGAGTAAATCAAATAAAAGTATATATATAATATTCATAAAATTCTTTTTATTTACATTTTCCTTGTTTCTCATATTTAAAAATTGGGGCTTCCCTCCTTCTGTATCCCATATGCAATTTGAAAACATGAATATGTACCTATCCTTTTTTTTATTTTTTTATTGACAAAGAATATGTACCTATCCTTGATGAAATTTATTATTAAGACGATTGTTGATTGAATCTAATATATAATTAGTTATAAAGTGTTATATACTTCTATTGGAATTTTAGATTTCTTAGGATTTGATTGGAAATGAAATTATTTTCCTGCTTAAAAAAAACGTAAAAAAGTGAGACTGTAGAATAAAGTTGAATAATCTATGGATATTTATATTGAGTATAATATAAAATACTACATATACATTACTGGGTGAAAAGGTATAGTATAGTGAGGCAACATGGTACAATGAAAATTGTAAGCCAGAAATGGATAATGTAAAAATTGTAAACTGAACAGAACAAAGAAAATGAACAAAGGTAGAATACATGATTTTGTACCTTATATCAAATTGAATGACTTCATAACATTCTTTTGATTTTTGAAGTTCCACAGAACCTCATCCACAATTGTAGGAGTAACACGTACTAATGTACTCAGCATTGTTCTGATAAGAACAATTAGAGGATTTTCTCAACCTTTATTTTTCACAATTTCAATCCCACTTTCGCACAAATAAAATTGTACAATTAGGAAAGGCAGCTCAAAAACAATAAAGTTATAAATGCTGGTTGAATCACACTCGTTATCTGAAACTGCATCACGAAGAAAAAAATGGAATGCAGCCTACTTGAAAGATAAACCAATCACCTCACATCTCTATACTACTTCACTATGAGTGTCATTTCTGCTTCATTGAAATGGAATAGGAATGCCTTGATTCTTGTTGACAATAACCATAGCTAAATATCGTGTACCCATACCAATAGGCACCTTGTCTTCAGGACCCTCCCAGAAAGGGGCTTCTCCTTCACCCACCAGACGCCAATATCCTGCCTGTAACAACTCTGCCTGCTCTTCTGTTTCACAGTTCTGTATCAAAGTTTCAACTCTGAAATTTATACCGAGAGAGCCCAAAAACTGTGACTGGGTGATGGGACCGTAAACAGAAACGTTATCTGAAAAGGAAAAAAAAATAATAAAAGAAGTTAGTGTACAGAACTTTTAGCTTGATTTTGTCATTTATCTTAACCTGGCATCCGGTACCCTATAAGAAAGAAAAAGAAAATATCTGACAGGCACACCCAAACCAGTTATCAACACAAATAAGAGGCAGCAAGGGAGAAGTACACATGGAAGAATTTTTTTTATCTACCTGAGGCCTCCCCAGCAGAGTGGCGAATTGCTTCAAAATCAACATAAGCACTGAGATCTGCAGTTCCAGGTACATCAAGGATAGGTACAAATTTATGTTTTCGAATTGCCTGCATAAGGGAACCATACGTTATTTAGTAGTGATTTAAGTCCAAATTTTTGTAGCTTCATGCATCTATGTAAAACAGACATGATACTTAGTGGACTGCTAATTCAACTTGCAACATTGCTACGCAAATGTAGCTGCTCCACCTCAGAACTTCATAAGATTTAAAATATTTCAAGTTAAAAGTATTATAAATTCCAACAAAGAATCACGTTTTTACAACACACCATAAAAAGTTTGAAACCATGAAATGTTCAATCTAACTCAAAGGCTAACCCATAAGACCATAACAAGGGCCAAGCCAACCTTGGATATTCTTTTAAAAAAACTAGAAGCTACTCTAATCATGGTATGCAGACCAAAACAATGGTTTATACGAAGTAGATCTTAATGTACCGGTCATCAAACTAAAAGAAGTAAAGAGGCACAAAGAATAAAATGTGGTCATCATACATGGCTTAGAACAGATAAGAAATCACTTAAATAATATCATAATATGGCTACAGAGATTAGCACCTGAAGACTATCAGAAATTATTCCATTCAGACCATAGTCTATGATAAGTGCTCCACCGCCGTCAGAGCTTATTCTTTTAGAAATGGATTCAGTCAGTTCCATTGCCTGTGGGCAAATCTCAATTTGGTTAAGCTTGTCTACTTCCTCTTTCACAGCCCACTTGCAGCGCTTTGCAAGAAAAACAGTTGCAGGTGTAGGCGCAGGCGAGAGAACAAAGCGAAACCTAAAGAACAATAATGCACAGAGCAACATATAACTAGAATTTCAAAAAATGCTAAAGCATTTGGTAGTATCATAAATCTGGAAGTCTTACGCTGAATCTTCTTCTATGTCAACCATTTTCTCACACCAGCCACGAGAAGCCCTCTGCAGATGGATTCAAGATTAAACGAGTAATGTGAATAGAATTACCCCAAAATTAAATAAAAAAAACTGCTTATATCTAAATTGCATATGGTTCAGAATAGTAAAAGAAAAGTGAGGTAACAAGAACAGCTTGAAGAATGTCAATCATGCTGCACAAATGATAGAAAGGTAATGAAAATCATGTTAGACATTTCCCTAACAGCTGCAGCACACATACTTCTTCAAAAATAAAAGAGATGAGTCTTTTCAACCATGCTTCCTCATAGCAGCTAAATTTGGATGGGTTACTAACTTACCAATGTTACCATAATACCATATTACACCAGACTTCAAAGCTTAATTTTGCACTTCTCGACAAATTTAATCTTTTTCCTTGTTCTAGACAGTTATTTCATTCTGGGAAATAAAGAATTTATTCTTCTTAGCTCTTGGGGTCAGGAATTCCTACACAAGTTAAGCGACACAATAAAAGCTTTTTCTATTCCTTTTAGTAATCAATTTATGTATCGGATTTCATTCGCCCCAAGGTTGGGAACTACTGATTAGCTCTATCTACAAAAATTTGGATTTGACCATAACGATAAATCGAGTCTTTATATAAATCGTATGATACTATATCAGAAGTGCATTTATCACCTCTAGCCTCTTGAGACATATATTTGATTTTTAATCCTTAATCCACAACCATATCACACTCTTCCAGTTAAATTCTGTCATTTTTACCAGACAGTACATATAATAGCACCCCCCCCCTCCCCGCCCCTACCCCAATTCCCTGTATAAAATAAGTGAAAACTAAGTGTTTTGGTCACCTTAGTCTTCTTTTGTAAAGCAGAAATTACATAACGAAATAGAAATTAGACATGATGATTGATCTTTTTTTGCCCTCTGTTCATGGGCGATGCTCCTCTCTCTACTAATTCAAAATTGAGAAAATATATTGAAATATCTTGTGATTACTTAAAGCTGATTCTTTTCAGCTTTACACTAAAATCATTACACTTTTTTTAGTCAAATATTATAAATTTAAAAATTATAATAAATTTCTCAAAACAACATTCACATATAGAATAGCTGAATATAAGCTTGAAGACTTGAACTGGCGCTTATGTATCTGAGAGAGAGACGGAGAGAATTAAAGAGCACCAAAATAGGGGGTTCCAAAACCATCATTTACAAGTTAGACTTGACACAATAGCACATGATAACTGTAAGCATAGCTAATGTTACATCCTCAAAAAAGACCCATGGACTTTCTGCCATCCACCACAACAGAACCACAACAAACCAGGAGATAATGAACACGAGAGGAAGTAACAAAACCAACCTGAAACTGATGAATAGGTAAAGCATCATAAAACTCGTGGGCAATGATGATTGTTGGCACTGAAGAAAAAGTAAAAGATAAGGTCACACAAAGCACATTGTCACTTACAATCAGAAAGAACTTCAGTGAGCTTCAAGGTAATCATAGATTTTGACAAGTTGGTATGTTATGCTCAGCTCCTTTTAGCTTTATATAAACCATCTAGCTTACACTCAGATTATAAATTGATAGAAGCTGGTCATTCTTCTTCAATTATATTCTAATATCTAATCCATGTATACAGTTTATTTTTACATCTGTATAAAGTCAAATACTTAGGTAAGAAAACTAAGCCTACATCTTCTTGTTTAAATGTATTCCCAAACATCGAAAGCATCAAGAAATAACTCTTACACATACAGAAGTCATTATAGTTTTAGTAATACAAATAAAATATTGCAAGTAATCCAGAGTCATATGAAATATTAATTGCAAGTAATCCAAGGTTTTATAACCTACATATGAAATATAACACAACCAAATTGGCTACACAATCATTCTTTTGGCACTTGGGTTTCCACGGTAAACTCTTTCTTGTTTTAGTTGCTTACTTGTTTTTGCTCTTCGTTATTATTGATTGTCAATAATTACATTCAAGTTAGCATAAATTTTAATCCTTCCACTCATCCATTCTTTTTTATTGCAACATTTAGGTTTCTATACTATTAAAATTTGAATATTAATTAAGAAAAATAATAATCATATAGGGCCTTGTTAGAACCTTCAATATATACATATTTAAAAATAAATTTCTAAAATTAAAAAAATTTAATGATATTAATGGCTAAACTTGTGCTTTGACAAGCAAGAAACTCTAAATGTTGCAAAATATAAAGAAGAAATGCAGTAAATTCCAATGACTAGAATGAGTAACATGTTAACACATCCTAGCTATTCCTCCAAGAGCTACTCAAAATCACTATGTGCCATAGGAGCATGATTTTTAAGAAGCACCAAAACCACTTCCCCGACTATAAAGTCATAAATCACTAAAACCCAAATTAGCTTTCCTTATATCAACGCACTAATTCCCCCAATCATGAAAAAAAAGAAATAATGGACCGAAATTACTATAAATTTCATTTTTTCTCATTGTGTTTCCTGCCATAAGTATTATTAAACAAATCAAAACTAGAATACAAAGGTTTTAACGCTCATTAAAGATCATAAAAAAAAAAAAAAAGAACAAACACATCATTACCATTGTTCCTTTTTTTTTAAGATGTAAAGCTCTTCAACAAATTGCTCATCATGATTCCATAATAAACCAATTGATTATAAGTAAAGTAGCCCAACAATCTTATATGTTAATCATTCGCCCTTTATTTCTTCAATGTGGGACAAGTTCACATGAGGGTTATTTTTCTAACGCTTCCCTGAGCCCATATAAGCTTAGCAAGCTTACATTACTAATCGAAAGATTTATAGATGGATTGCCCATCAACCTTATTTGTTAGTCATTCGCCCTTTGTTTCTTCAATTTGGAACAATTAATCCCAACATGTGGGTTATCATCCTAACAATGACCAAATTGCTCTTTATTAATTTGACCTCATACTGCATATCGTTAACCACCTATCTTGCATTTAAACGCCTCGGAGCAAATCAAATTTCATCTCAAATATAATAACTCAGTCAAGTCTGTGTACATGCTTTCTAGAACAACAAAATTAATGCATCCAGAAGATCCAACTATAAAACTATTGCAATGTTCACCTAAATGGATTTAGGTCCCAGTTTGACCCAAAAAAAGAAGAAAAATGTAAGCTCACGAGACCAAACAAGCTGCAAATATTCCAATACAGTATCGATAGGTCAGTATCAATAGGTCAAAATTTGAGAGGCCAGATCTACGGGTAGATAATAGATATATCATAGATAGATAAATATATTTAAATATAAATAAATGAATAGATAGATAGATATAAATAAATAATAGCATAAGACTCTGTACCTCCTGATGGAACCTGCTCAAAAGCAGCATGCCATGCTACAGGGGTTCCAGCTATTTGGCTAACTGTCTTTTTCTCTCCGCTTGATGATGTATCATCTTCATCTAAACACTTCAAATTGCGGTGTTGTAGTTCCTTCAGAGTTGGGCTGCACTCAACTAAATGTATGTGTAGAGATTCTGTGAAATTCTTGAACTTAGATGCACCCTACATGCATAAATTACAGTGCTTTATTACTAAATTCTGCTGAAATTTCTTAATTAATCTTCTCCAGATTGCTTGACCACGATTAGAATTTTAAGAGGGCAATGCTAATATGGACTTACTCGAAGAAGATCAACCATAAGAGTACCCCTTCCTGGACCAAGCTCTACTAAATTAACCTTACTAGGTCGGCCCATTTGCTCCCAAAGACACATGGCCCATACACCAACCATCTATAAGCAGTGATACAAGATGATCAAAATAATTATCAATCAAACTTGCATGAATGTAGTCAACAAGACAGTGCATGCATCATCAGGATATCTAGCGTTTGCATAAATGAGTATGGTTATTGAGTTACCTCCCCAAACATCTGGCTCACTTCAGGAGAAGTAACAAAATCACCTTCTGCTCCAAATACATCACGATTTATGTAGAATCCAGCCTTTGGATTCGTAAGAACTTCCTCCATGTACTCAGCCACAGAGATAGGACCTCCACGAAACTACAAAGCGAAGAGTAAATGAACATGCATTGAACTTCAATAAAGCCGCAGTTGATTGAACATAAGTGTAACTGACTCACAGGACAAATTTTTTCAGTGCAACCCGTTCTCGGTAAAAGTTTATGCGTGGCAAGCGTTTAATTATCAGCGGTGCAAGTCTTGTAACAAAATGTTGGTTTTCATTTTTGGGCAGGCACATACAGAGTTACAGGTATAATTAATTTAATGTGGGAGGCAGAAGATGATGAGATATACTTGACAGTTAGTTTATATGGTTAATCAATGGGTTGACGAAAAATTGCGAGCTATAAAGAGAATTTACAATTTCAGAATTTCCCAAAATTGTCATAGTCATGCTCAATGTCATTGACAAGCTCTCTTTTCGCACTAATTTAAGTTTGCTCTCCACCTGTAAACATTTTTTTTTTTATCACTGAGCAAGTATGCTCATTGATGAAGTACTACACTAAGAAGCCCAATTCCAATGTTAGCTTTAGCACAAAGTAATTCAATTCTTCATAGCAAAACAGTAATTCCTTAGACCGAAAGACACACAATATAAATCGCAAAGTACTCAATGAAATAATTTTATCGGAAAATGCTCTCAAAACAGTTCTTGCATTCTAATGCATTTAGTTATAGATCAACTTCAGGAACTTGATTATCATTTCTTTGTTCAATCTTCACATTAAACAAAAAAATACACACCTACCTATCTGTGAAAGGACTCTTCAAATCAAACAGAAACAACGAGCACAAAATCCAATTTTTTTTATCAAACCACATTAAGTTAATTAGATCATAAGAAAGCACACTTTAGAGGATGCCAACTAACATGGCTAATTGTACTATAAGGAGGCCATGAGGTGATACGGTGTTACACAAAAAAAAAAACTCAAGATCAAATCCCGTCTACATCACTATCCGCTGATGATGGAAAAAGTTACATCAAAAACAAGGAAGCACACATTTGCCAACATAAATTACATTCTGGAAAATACTACAGTAAGTAGCAGGACTAATATCAATCAACAAGAAAAACAAAGAAAAAGAAAAATGGGTAACCTTAATTATGCTTTTTAGATGCTTAACAAGCTCGGAATCCGAGGTTGGTTCATGAGAATGCTCTGCCACACAAAAAACCATTGCAAATCAACACAAACCCAACTCCAAAAATCAAATTCAAAACAAAATACAAACTAAAACTAAACACAGTAGTCAAAAACAATGAAGAAATTAGTACCAGGAGGGTTGCAAAGACCAGAACGATCGATGGAAATGGTGGGGTTTGAAGTTGAACGGGTTTCATTAGGATTGCCCGCAACATGTTCGACAAAATTCCCAGATGAATTTTGTGAAGGTGAAGATGAAGATGATGAGAAAAAGTGAGAGAAAGATGATGAAGAGTGAGGAGAGAGGAAAGGGCGGAGTTTCAATGCCCTTCTCAGCATTTTTATTCGACTAAGAAGTAGAAGAAGAAGAAGACTTGCGAGCTTTTTGAAGAGTTAATGGTGGAAACGTCTAGTTTTTTTTTTTAAAAAAAAAGTTTATATTTTGAAAAGAGAATTTCAGATGGTAGAGCACTCGCTTAGCATGCGAGAGGTACGGGGATCGATACCCCGCATCTCCACTAAACATTTTTCATATTTTGGCAAGCACTTCTCTACACTTTAACCCTAATATTTTTTGGCAATAACACTAACCCTATTATATTTGAGAATTTGTTAATGCAATGACTAGATGTTTGTGATTTCACAATTGGAAAAAAAAAAAAAAATTGAATTCATGAGTTATGAGTTTTGTACCTAATTGGTGTTTGTTTACATAACACATTAATGGAGAAATTCAATGGGAGAGGAAAGAACTCAATTTAAATGAAGATCGGAGATGAAGGTCTAGGTATTCTAATGTACTGATTTGACTACATTTTGACCACATTTTAAGGAAAAAAAAATCTTATTACGCTATCCAATTGGATCTTGTTAAGCTTGTCTCATAGTGTATTTTTCAAATACTTTTCATAATTTTTTTTTACGCAATGAAAGATATCTAGTAATAAGTGAACGAGAATGACATTTTTTTTCTCTTTTGAATCAAGGAATCATAAATTTTTATTTAGTCTAAACTAATTTTAAGAAGAATAAGTTAGGGATGTCAATGAGACAAGTCGAAGGTGAATGACACTTCTACAATCATCCCCACCTAAAAATTCTATACGCATCCACACCCCTCCACCTATGGTAGGTACATGACCTACATCCATCTCGACCCTTCCACCCCACTTGGATGTCAATACGAGCCACACACTTGCTAATTTGAGAATATACAAGTTTATCTTCATGATAAACAAATTGTGTTTATCGTGAGAATATAATTGTCAATCTATATACTTAAGTCTGGCCGGGTAGCCTTGTAATTTCAACGATAAGGGAAGTTAACAACATTAATTTCATAAAGAACTCCGTTAATAGTGGAAAAGCTTCAATAGAAATTTTAGAAGCTTCAATAACAGAAAAAGTGAAACTCAAAATTAGCTTTAATGGAGGAGGATAACACCCTTACCCGTAAGGGTTCACCATGCCCTTAATTTTACCCTTTTTCCATAGAGTTTTCGTTTTATTTGACGGCGAAGCCGCCGGAGATGGTGGTGTTGGTGGAAGGGATGTACATCGCAGAAGGAAGAAGAAGATGGATGAAGAAGGAGAAATCAGTTTCAATGGAGGAAGCAAGAGGATGAAGGAAGAAGTTGGGTAACGCCGTTACTTTTACAACTTGAAGAAATGGACAGGTAGAAGCAACTATGTCAAAGAAAATATTTTTTTACGACTAGATAAACATTCTATGTTTATCATGAAGATAAACTAGGACTCCCCATGCTAATTTCTACAATTTTTTAACCAAAAAAATTAATATAATACCACAAAGTAACAACCAATGGGACACAACTGGTTCCTAAAACTTTGGAATTGAAATCACCGGGTAACGGTTCCGATTTCGGGTACCCAATTATATATAAAATTGTTGAACTTAAAATAACTATTGCAAATAAATAATACTCCATCATCCGTTCCTTTTTGTTTTTTGTATTTCCATTAAGGTGTTTCTTTTGATTCATCCTTTACATTTAGTATCTTTTCTATTTTAGTCATAAATAATGGATAAATTACCTTTCTCTACAATTAACATACTCAATAAAAAATTGTCAAAAATAAGCCAACTTTCACATGGTTAGCTCAAAATAAGCCAACCTTTTAATTAACTTAAAATAATCAAGTCAACCTTTATAAGATATATACCCAAAACGAGTCATGACCTAATGTTTATGGAGGTAACCGGTTATTTAGAATCAGTATGCCATGTGTCGCAAACTCACAATATGAGTGGTGCATTTAAAAATTTTAATTAAATTAACTATTTATCTTTAGAGAAATTTCCATCAGCTCCCACCTAACGAAGAACAACCCCTACGCTATGCCGACCAGAACTCACCTCCAGCAACCGCCGATCATCCCTCACCCGGCCACCACCGATTCCTTTCCCTTTCTCCCCTCACCCAGACACCACCGATTCCTCTCTCTGTTTTAATTTTACAAATTTTGTGGTGGTTTTTTTAGGCAGGTGTTGAGTTTTCGAGGTGACAAGACTGGATTTTCAGTGCTTAGGGTTGGGTTTTGGGGTAGATACGATGTTTTCGTGGCTAGGGTAGTGATTTGAGGTGGGTATGGTGGTTTTGAGGTGGATTTCATAGCAAATCTGCGGATTTAGGTTGGTTTCAGTCGATGAAGAAGGGTGTTCAAGGAGTGGGAAGAGGCAAGGGTCAAGCACTCAGGTGGGGGAAAAAGAAGGTGATGTTCATGGAGGGGAAGGAGAAAAGGGTTAAGGGTGAGAGGGTTGGGAGGGCTGACGCGGTGGTGGGAATTGGTTGGAGAGGTGGTCTGTGCAATTATCGGCGCGTGGGGGTATGGTGGTCGACAATGGGGATGATTTTTTTAATAATTAATTCAAAAGTATACTTTTTATATAAAAAAAAATGACTTGTTTAGTAGGATTTAGGTCATCTGACCTATTCAAAGTATAGAGCTCGTAAAAGTTAACTTATTTTTTATCTATCATAATATTAGCTTATTTTGAGCTAATTATGCAAAAATTGACTTATTTTTGACAAATTTTCTAATACTCAATTGCTCTTACTCTTTCATGTGCAAGTGTACTGTTTGTATAATGTTAATAGTTTTCCAATACTTATAAAAAAAAAAAAAAAAAAAAAAAAATAATAATAATAATAATAATAAGTATAGTTCCAATACTCATTATTTCTTTCTCTCTTCTACTTTCTCCATCCCACATGGACAATACTTTTTTTTTTTAGATAGTCATTGTACTTTCAATCATTGAAATATTCCAATATACTTTTACTTTACCCAATTTTTTAATAGCCGCGTAGCTTTAAAAAAACTGAAGGAGTATATTTATTTTTATATGCATTATAAGCTATTTTAAGTTATTTAGGATTTTTCTACAACTAAGTTATTTAGGCTTTAATAACATTTTTTCTGTGAAAATTACTAACTATGGAGGCAGTGGCGGACCCAAAAATTTGACAATGGAGGGACAATGTCGATAATTCAACTAACATCAACTTGTTTTTTTTTTAAAAAACGAGTATACAAATTAATTAACTAAATAACTATCTAATTCACAACCATTAAACATTGATAATTAATGAATTCACAAAAACATTACTTAAACTTTGTAAAATAGGGTTTTATAAATATGAAAAAAAAGGGAAAACCTACTTGGCGGGGCGGTGGTTGCCGGCATTGGTGGCGGTGCTCGCTACAGTCCGGGACTCGTGGCCGCGTGGTTGGTGGTTTGTGCCTTCGTGGTTGGAAAATAGGAATAAGGGAGTAGTCGAGTGGTTTGGTTGAAATAAAACACCCTAGAAAAAAAAAAGGAATAATGTTATGAGGGAGATTTGAACCACTAATGTAGGTGAACCTCATATTGGGCCCCCCGTCATATTGTTTTTAGCCCACTACAAACTTAGCTAAGACAATCTTCTTATTTATTTCTTACACTCAATTGTATATAACTATTTTCCCTTTTTTTTTCCTGATTCAACATACGGATTAATTATTTTTAAAGACATACAAGTATATTTTAATCTACAATGGACTAATCGAGTAATGTAATCGGTTTCGATTCATAAAATTTGAGAATTGAAGTTGTAACCGATCCCTTAAATTATTACCCGAATTGAAGGGAGGAAGTACTTGACGAAATTGAAGAGGGTCCAATTGGACCAGCACAGCATTAAAATATTAATATCTTCAATTAAAAATAAAGGACAAACCAAAAAAAAAAAAACTCTCGTTTGGTTGCCAAAACGAGAACGGGGTGTGTTTTTGGGGGAAATTTTCCGCCAAAATGCAGCTGATTGTTGCTGATGTCAGTGCTTTCCCAAAATTGAAAAAAAGGAAGAGGGAGAAAGCTAAAGTTCATTGTTTCAGCCAAAACTTCAAGAATAAACACTGATGAAGAACAACAAACCAAATCTCAACTAAGTTAGTCTAATTTGGAAAAGTCGAAAATGACAAACTAAATCTGGTAAACAATGGGCTTTTTGTTGTTTAATTAGTCTTTTTGTTGATTTCAAGTTAATTTAATTATGTATTATACTGAATTTCTAGGTATTCTGAATTGGATTTTCAAGAATTGTTTGCTAAATTCAACAAAAATCATCAATTTCAGGTACTATACTTTAAAATTAACTAGTGTTTTTGCTAGGGTTACTATATAATATTATGTGAATAATTTCTAGGGTTTGTAGATAATATCAAAATAATAATTTTAGTGTTATTTCAATTGTTTCTAGTATGAACCACGAAAATCTGAACTTAATTGTTTGGGTTTGGTTTTTGGGATAGTTCATGTGACTAGTTATTAGTTATGTATTTGGGGTTGGGTTTGGTTTGGTTTGCAACTTATTCTATTTGATAATCTGAACTTATTTGTTTTGCAACTATGTTAGTAGCTTTGATGGCACTAGGTGTTGCAATTTTGCATATAGTGTAGCAACAATGATGAATGCCCAAACAAAGCATCAACAACCTGTTAAACGTATCTATGTGCAAAATTATTTTAATTACATACAAGGCCCGAAAAGAGCTTTCACATTGAAAATAGGCCACAAATTCCCTTAGGAGGTATTGTTTTGTTTTGGAATGCCGGGGAATGACAAGAAATTCATTCTTAGACAACTTTATTTTCTTGTTTCACAATTATGCGCCTATAATTTTCATACTCACCGAAACCCGTATACCTAAATTAGCCCTTGAATATGTTGAACGGAAGTTGGGAACTAACTACAACCTCGAGATTTTCGGCTCAAGTGGTGGACCGCGTGGTGTGGCTTTATTTTGGGATGCGGTTCTCTTGACTCATTTCTTTGAGCACAGGGGGTATAGACATCGGGGTCTAACCGTGTCGGTAATATACGAGGTAATCTCGACCTTAATATTATTTTACTATGTTTTGTATTATTTTGGAATTATGTGAATTTTTTTTTATTTAAGCATGTGATGATGTGAATATTATTATCTTGTGTATAAAAAAAAATCAAAATTAAGATTAAAATAAATTATCTACAATATCGATTTTCGGTTTTCTGTTATTATTTTAATTTTTTTTTCATTTTTTTTTAGTAAAATATCGGTTTTCTGTTTAATAGTTGGTAATATTTTATTTACTTATCATGTTTACTACTAACTCATATTTGGGAAATTAATTTTATTTATGTTTTCAGTTGATACATAACAGTTACATTTATTTTATTTCTTTCCTGTTATGTATGTTTACATAGTTATTACAAGTAGTTTTTTGTAAAATGAATAGCATTTAAGTATGATAGTAATTTGTGTTTGATTGTTTAAAAGCTAAAGTTAAATGATATCATCTATTTAAACTAATGTAGGAGTTGTGAATGATATCAATGCAATTAAAAAATAATTGTTGTACATTTATATAAAAAATAGTGACATAAAAAGGCTAGTGTCAGTGTGACCTAGGGGTGAAAACCTAATAGCCTAATAGGTGGATTTTCAGATTACAATTACATGTCAGAGAATTTAACTGTTAGGTAGATAAATTGAATTCCCACTTTATGCATAGTTTTTGCTAGATTTATGCTTGATATGTTGAAGCTATTATTCCCTTCTTTGGTCCGTCATCTTGTAGGGTGTAGTGCACTTATTAGGTAGGACTAAATGATTCTTATCACCTTTTTTTTAGGTTTTTTTTGTATTATTTTTTTTTATTTTTTAAATGAGGAAAATAAATCTACTCACTTCATCCACATACTCATTACCATTATGTATGTAACAATAATTTAGTTGTGTAGGGTTTCGTTAAGTTACACTTAAATTAATACTCGTACATGATATAATTATGTTTTACATTATCTCTTGCAACTTAAGGTTCTGTTAAAAATTATGAGTTTAAGTTAGCTTT